TGATCAAATGTGAACAAAACAGTCTCGCAGAGCATCATGGAACAATGTTGATCAAATGTGAACAAAACAGTCTAGCAAAACATCATGGAACAATGTTGATCAAATGTGAGCAAAACAGTCTCGCAGAACATCATGGAACAATGTTGATCAAATGTGAACAAAACAGTCTAGCAAAACATCATGGAACAATGTTGATCAAATGTGAACAAAACAGTCTAGCGGAACATCATGGAACAATGTTGATCAAATGTGAACAAAACAGTCTCGCAGAACATCATGGAACTACGTTTATCAAATGTGAACAAAACAATCTAGCAAAACATCATGGAACAATGTTGATCAAATGTGAACAAAACAGTCTCGCAGAACATCATGGAACAATGTTGATCAAATGTGAACAAAACAGTCTCGCAGAACATCATGGAAAAATGTTGATCGAATGTGAACAAAACAGTCTCGCAGAACATCATGGAAAAATGTTGATCAAATGTGAACAAAACAGTCTCGCAGAACATCATGGAACAATGTTGATCAAATGTGAACAAAACAGTCTCGCAAAACATCATGGAACAATGTTGATCAAATGTGAACAAAACAGTCTAGCGGAACATCATGGAACAATGTTGATCAAATGTGAACAAAACAGTCTCGCAGAACATTATGGAACAATGTTGATCAAATGTTAACAAAACAGTCTAGCAAAACATCATGGAACAATGTTGATCAAGTGAACAAAACAATCTCGCAGAACATCATGGAACAATGTTGATCAAATGTGAACAAAACAGTCTAGCAAAACATCATGGAACAATGTTGATCAAATGTGAGCAAAACAGTCTCGCAGAACATCATGGAACAATGTTGATCAAATGTGAACAAAACAGTCTAGCAAAACATCATGGAACAATGTTGATCAAATGTGAACAAAACAGTCTAGCAAAACATCATGGAACAATGTTGATCAAATGTGAACAAAACAGTCTAGCAAAACATCATGGAACAATGTTGATCAAATGTGAGCCAAACAGTCTTGCAGAACATCATGGAACAATGTTGATCAAATGTGAGCCAAACAGTCTCGCAGAACATCATGGAACAATGTTGATCAAATGCAATTGCTTCATACGTGTGCTGTGACTGAGGGTTTAGAACTCCATGGCCTCGCAGTGTCTTTGGCCTGCCTCTGAACTGTTTCAGGCAGTCTCATTGATGTCAAAAGACATAGAATAGAAACTTTGCTGAAGCAGATACTAGTGAACATCGTCACTATGTTGGCCACTGGTGCAGACCCTATCCCATACACTGGCGCAATCACTGACACAAATACTAACGCAATCACTGACACAAATACTGACGCAATCACTGACACAAATACTGACGCAATCACTGACACAAAAACTGACGCAATCACTGACACAAACACTGACGCAATCACTGACACAAATACTGACGCAATCAGTGACACAAATACTGACGCAATCAGTGACACAAATACTGACGCAATCACTGACACAAATACTGACACAAATACTGACGCAAACACTGACACAAATACTGACGCAATCACTGACACAAATACTGACACAAATACTGACGCAAACACTGACACAAATACTGACACAAATACTGACACAAATACTGAGACAAACGTTGTTGAATAACCATTACCTAAATACTGAGACAAACTCATCCAAGCACTGACCCCAACAGTGTCCCCAATACTGACCCAAACACAGAGGCAGAAATAAACAGCTGACCTGTAACTGGAGAACGACTTCCATGGGCATGAGATCCAGATCCACGTCATAGTCGACGGTGAAGGTCACTGCTGTACTGGACCGGTCGTAGCTGGCAACAGAAAACCACCGAGTTCCCATTGATCTCTACAATATAAGTCTAGCCCTATATGCCCAACAGGCCTGAATGTGTTAACAAGACTTTAAAAACATCTTAGTTTAAGTTAAAAGCAAACAGACAACAACAGAGGCATGTCCTTTTCTTCTTCTTCTTCTTCGCGTTCACCAGCTGTAAACTCTGGCGGAAGGTTCTGGTTGCTCGTCCACTACTGAACTGCAGTCCTGCTCCAGAACCTAAGTGTTGTGTGTGCATCAGTTTTACAGATCTCATTCTCTTGAATACAGACTGTTGGTTCCTTGCCTCTCTGGCAGATACACTCCGACTTCAAAGGAAGCTCCCCAATTAGTCGACTCTTACGACATGCTTTTGGGGAGGCAGTGGGTCTATTCTTATTTTTCCCACAATGGGGCCCCGAAACCCACACGGGGATCATGTCCTTTTGACCTGGTGTCTGATCTATGCTCTAAGGTCATACGGGGGATAAGTTGACTTCTGCAGGACCCAGTTAAGGCTCACAACAGGACACAAATAATTTCCCAATAGCATCATTCAGATTTGCATGTGCCAGCTATAAACAACACATAATTTTTTGCCTAATGTGTCTCTCAGCTTTCCTTCAACTTTTGTTGCTCTGTATTTAAAAAAAAATAAAAATTTCGGGGTGAAATATCAGCACCTTTTTCTCCCTATTCCCTCATAGAGAAATAAACTCTAAAGTCACACAGATGAGCACTGAGTCCTACAATCTAGCTATCAGTTACAAGAGAGCCTATGTGTCAAATGAAGCCACACTTATGAGGGTCAGCGGTCACTTAAGTTACCTCTGTGTCAAATGAAGGTAAACTTCTGTGGATCATTGGTCACTTGCAGAAACCTCTTTGTCAAATGAAGCTAAACTTCTGTGGATGATTGGTCACTTGCAGGAATTTCTTTGTCAAATGAAGCTAAGCTAGTGTGGATAAGCGGTCACTTGCAGAAACCTCTTTGTCAAATGAAGCTAAACTTCTGTGGATGATTGGTCACTTGCAGGAACCTCTTTGTCAAATGAAGCTAAGCTTCTGTGAATGATCGGTCACTTGTAGAAACCTCTGATAAATGAACCGAAATACCCCGGTCTATTAATCACTCACCGGAACCTCTGGCTATTGTTGCCTCTCATAAAGCCTACACTGACTATTCGATCTCCTTCCGGGTCAACAATGACGGCGTCAAGGTAACAGGTGGAGACGGCGGCCTGAAAGGTCAGATTGACATTGAAGTTACTGTACTTTATTAACAAACATTGAATCTAGTGGCCGGCACAACATGCGGCAGTTGGCGGTGACTGTGTGAGTCTATCTCCATGTCCTAAATGTGCCACGGAACCTAGTGGCTTATGCAAAGGGCAGGCTTGAAAGAATTGTGGGTCCCTGGGAAAGCCTGTGCTGGCAGAGACCCTTGTACAACCCCTCACGGAAGGACATGTGAATGATCTTAACAGATGCTGATTAGCATGGAGCCTACATGCTCGTGTGGCCTCGAACAAGTGCTTGTGTGGGCCCATGCACCAAGACGACACTAGCCTAGACATCTTGAGCTTCCCTCCCCTACCCAATAGAACAATATTATGGGTCGCAGGCCTTCTCCCATCCCACCTCTCTCTCTCTCTCTCTCTCTTGTTATCTACGCTGCGCCCGCAATGATAAATAGTAAAGTAAACGACCGTTTTCAGGCGTTTTTGGGTATATAGGGCTAGACCTAAATTTTAAAGACAGATTTTATATGAACAGAATGGGCATCGATTTGAAGCAAACACGAATTCCACGAGGCAAGCACAAATGTGGCCAAAAGTGACGAGAAAACGGACAGAGCATGTTTTACGTGAGAATATTCTAGAAGGGAAGGAAAAAGCTTTTAAGCCACGATAAACTGAGTTAGTTTAGTTTTGTTTCGATCTGGTCTCGTTGGAGACTCAAGTGCATGGAACGAATGAATCTTGAATTGACTGAATCCCGAATTAAGAGTATGATTCTTTCAACTTCTAAACTTTGAGAAACGTGGCCAATGAATCCATGACGTCACATAATTGAGGGATGGCAGAATGAACAACACTCGTGCCTACGACGTTTCTGATGGCATTTTGGTGAGCTTGAGAAGTGCAAGCGTCGGAGGCAGTGACAGTTCGAATCTTTATGTTTTGATTATAAGTAGTAACGTTCTTGTGAACACTTAGGACCCTAGCGTTTATCCTCTGACATGTTTGTATCGAAAGGAGACTGTTGCAGAACAAACGGAATCGTTATCGTCAGCTGTTTTATATTTTCTTAGCTGGTGTCAAGTTCCGGTTTGGTATGTTAGAGTACTTGGGCAATGTATCAGAGTAGACTGAATATGAATAGGGCCAGAGAGTCTTTGCAGGCCTCCGTTTCCCTTGCTTGGAACACTTTTTAATGGGTGCTGAGGTCCGACGGACCTAATGTCTTCTTAGTGTCGCCGCCCTTGGTTTGATACCATACACTTGGTGGTTCAGTAAGGAAACAGGCGGGCCAGGGCGATAACCACAACTTCTTTTATTACTGGAGATTGGGGACCAGCTCTGACAGCTTGCCAGCTCTGATAGTGATTGCAGTTTATCTGAAGTGAAATAGGGTTGAGGAAGGGGTTAAATTAAGAATGCATACATTCAGACCAGCATCAATGCATGCCAATCCATCACTGGGTGGCATGATAGAAAACGGTGATTAGAACGCTGGTCAGACAAGGCCACACAGATAAACTAGTAATCTTTCGGACAGTTCGTAGGAACAGGTGCACTGTGACCAGGGTCGAATAGAGTACGTTAATCCAAATAAAACCATGACATCTGACAGTGACAGATGTAGACTTACAGAGCAGACCCCAAAGATGCACGAGAGAGATTGAGGTCGACAAGTGCTCAAGAGCAGCGCGGAATGCACGTGTCCAACTGATGATGATAACATAGTCCAGGATGAAGGGTGACTGGGGATGACTGAGAACCCACGTCGGGAAGAGAGAGGAAGCGGGCGTGAAGAGGAGAGAAGCGAAAAGATAGAGGGTCAGTACCGAGAAGCTAGAGAGGTCAGTCGACAAGAACTTGGCGAGAAGACATAGAAAGCTGGAACTGTGCTTCGTTAGAAGAAATAGATATTAAGCTTTGGTTTTGCTTTGATAGAGAGAGAGAAGAAAGAACTAGAATGTTATACTGTTGCACAAATACAATATATTCGTTCTACAAAGATTAAAATTATTTTGTTGAATAAACAAACATTATAACCTTATACAGTTTCATCACTGGCCGAGTTGTTAAACACAGTTAATCAACTTACAACCAGTATCTATATTATCCTAAGTTCTGAATTAGGCAAATCCATTCTTGGGTGATGTAAAAGATAGGACTGTGTCACAAGATAATAATAATAATAATCATAAATAATAATAATAATAATAATAATAATAATAATAATAATAATAATAATAATAATACCAATAATACCAATAGTAACAATATTATTAATAATGACAATAATAATATTAGTCACAATAATAACAATAATAATAACAATATTAATAATAATAACAACAACAATAAAAACAATAATAACAACAATAATAATAATAAAAATAGGCTACTTATCTTGTCTGAGATTTCATGGGGATTTCCCTGGAAATTCCAATAGAATAGAGGGGTGGAGGTTAGAGTTAGTCTTAGTAGGTGTTCATGTCACACCCTAACTCCCCTATACTGTTGGACTTTTCCGCAGCTATCCACGAAGTCTCGGAGTTCCCAAAATGGGGTGACCAAAAAAAAAGGGACTAATAATAACAATAACAATGATAATAAACATAGCTATTCGAACAGCTGGGATAGAAGGTAACGGAGAAGAAGAAGAGAAGTGGAAGGTTCAACACCAGATGAATGGTCAAGACTTACATTACTCTCGAAAAGTTCACAATAATAGGCCAGCTCGTCGAAATATGGCGCCTCGTTGACGTTCACAATTTTCACCGTCGCCGTGTCATTCTGGGAATCCCTGGCCACAAACATACAAACAGGAAGTTCAGTTTGTCAGCGTGTCATTTTGGGAATCCCTGGCCACAAAAATACAAACAGGAAGTTCAGTTTGTCAGCGTGTCACTTTGGGAATCCCTGACAATAAATTTACAAACAGGAATTTTAGTTTATCAGCGTGTCCTTTTGGGAATCCCTGGCCACAAAAATACAAACAGGAAGTTTAGTTTGTCAGCGTGTCACTTTGGGAATCCCTGGCCACAAATATACAAACAGGAAGTTCAGTTTGTCAGCGTGTCATTTTGGGAATCCCTGGCCACAAAAATACAAACAGGAAGTTTAGTTTGTCAGCGTGTCACTTTGGGAATCCCTGGCCACAAAAATACAAACAGGAATTTTAGTTTATCAGCGTGTCATTTTGGGAATCCCTGGCCACAAATATACAAACAGGAATTTTAGTTTGTCAGCGTGTCATTTTGGGAATCCCTAGCCACAAATATACAAACAGGAAGTTCAGTTTATCAACGTGTCATTTTGGGAATCCCTGGCCACAAATATGCAAACAGGAAGTTCAGTTTGTCAGCCTGTCATTTTGGGAATCCCTGGCCACACACATACAAACAGGAAGTTTAGTTTGTCAGCGTCTCATTTTGGGAATCCCTAGCCACAAATATACAAACAGGAAGTTTATTTTGTCAGCGTCTCATTTTGGGAAACCCTGGCCACAAATATACAAACAGGAAGTTCAGTTTGCCATTGTGTCATTTTGGGAATCCCTGGCCACAAATATACAAACAGGAAGTTCAGTTTGTCAGCGTGTCATTTTGGGAATCCCTGGCCACAAATATACAAACAGGAAGTTCAGTTTGTCAGCGTGTCATTTTGGGAATCCCTGGCCACAAATATACAAACAGGAAGTTCAGTTTGTCAGCGTGTCATTTTGGGAATCCCTGGCCACAAATATACAAATAGGAAGTTTAGTTTGTCAGTGTTATTTGCTTGTTTATACGCTGATATCTGGCTTTGAACTATTTCAGACCACACAGTTTTCAGTTCAATAGGTATAAACCCAAAAGTTGTCGGGTTTTAGTGTAACGGTTTCTCTGTCTAAATGTGTAACACTGTTAGGGCTATAAGAGAAAAAGAAGTGAAATAATAATTGGATATACTATATAACATATATCACAGTAACGGAATAGAACTAGTTCAAATATTTATTCAATGTACGGTTACCCTTTTGGCCTCACCCCTCTCTCCTAAATACAGCAAACACGCAGAAGCACACTGAATTGCCTGATGCGTAATGAGTTGAAGAATCATTGGTTAGACATACATTTTCGACGATTGGTTCAAGAGGGCCCAGTAATTGATCCCACAACATCCAGATGAACAATAGAGGTGGAAGCGGTCATTGCAGCTTTTCGCTGGCTAAAAGACACAACACACACACACATACACACATGCACACAAACACACGCTCGCACGCACGCAAGCACGACGCGCGCACGCACACAACGTGATTAAAAGGATCAGAAAGCATGCCGAGGAAGGGGAGGACAGGGACGCTGTGTGCTCTGCACAGATTGGCGGAATATCAATGCATGATAACTCAGATGTGGTCAAGGCCTTATGGAAGCACGTGTACGGTTCGAAACAACGAACTAATCACCACAGACTGATGCATCGAGGAGTGACATGGAGATCTGACCGATACTTGACAGACAGACAGACAGACATAGAAAGTGAGAGGAGGAAGACTGAGGGAGGGGGAAGAGAGAGAGAAAGAGAGAGAGAACATAAGACTTCTACTAAGATTAGAGAACAGAATCGACAGCCAGACTCAGAAAGGCGACAGTTATCAGAGAACGATGGACATGTGAGTGCTGGCACTTACAAAAAGCCATCAGTGACCTTACAGTTGATCACATACAGGTTGGTGGTCTCGTAGTCCAGCGGCATGGGGGCGTTGACCGCAGTAGACAGTCTGATCCGGCGGGCTGCAACAAGACAACAGAACAGCATTTGACCCTGATGACATTTCATCCTATCTACATCCTATCTATACAAACCGCTGTTTATATTTATATATGCACACACACACACACACACACACACACACACACACACACACACACGCCGAAACTTCGGTGCCAATGTGAGTAATAAATATACACACACACACACACACACGCCGAAACTTCGGTGCCAATGTGAGTAATAAATATACACGCACACACAAACGCCGAAACTTCGGTGCCAATGTGAGTAATAAATATACACGCACACACACACGAGCAGGCAGACAATTCTCTAAAAAAGCAAAGAGGAACAGAGGCAAACTAATGGGCATCTACACCGACCACCACAAGCACACACGATGATAGATGGTAGGATAGGAAGCTATAAGCTACACACAAATATATATGTATTTCCCAAGAGCTACACACAAATATATGTATTTCCCAAGGGATACACACAAATATATATGTATTTCCCAAGAGCTACACACAAATATATATGTATTTCCCAAGAGATACACACAAATATATGTGTATTTCCCAAGAGATACACACAAATATATATGTATTTCCCAAGGGATACACACAAATATATATGTATTTCCCAAGAGCTACACACAAATATATATGTATTTCCCAAGAGATACACACAAATATATGTGTATTTCCCAAGAGATACACACAAATATATATGTATTTCCCAAGAGCTACACACAAATATATATGTATTTCCCAAGAGCTACTCACAAATATATATGTATTTCCCAAGAGCTACGCACAAATATATATGTATTTCCCAAGAGCTACTCACAAATATACATGTTTTTCCCAAGAGCTACAGACACATATACATGTATTTCCCAAGAGCTACTCACAAATATATATGTATTTCCCAAGAGCTACTCACAAATATATATGTATTTCCCAAAAGCTACACACACACACACACACACACACACATATATATATATATATATATATATATATATATATATATATATATATATATATATATATATATATATATGTATGTATGTATTTCCCAAGATCTACACACAAAAATATATGTATTTCCCGAGAGCTACACACAAATATATATGTATTTCCCAAGAGCTACACACAAATATATATGTATTTCCCAAGAGCTACACACAAATATATATGTATTTCCCGAGAGCTACACACAATAATCGATATGTATTTCCTAAGAAATGTAGAAACTCACATAGAGAAAGACAGACAGACAGACAGACAGACAGACAGACAGACAGACAGACAGACAGACAGACAGACAGACAGACAGACAGACAGACAGACAGACAGACAGACAGACAGACAGACAGACAGACAGACAGACAGACAGACAGACAGAAACATACTGCCAGGATCATAAGTGAACTTGAACTGCTCGGCGTCAGGGACCACTGTACAAATAGGCACCAGCTGGTTGACGTAAATGTCCCTAAAGAACAACAGATACACACAGTAAACAGAAGCTAAACTTTCCCAATCGTTGCTGCTTAGAACAACAGATACACATAGTAAACAGAAGCTAAACTTTCCCTATCGTTGCCGTCTAGAACAACAGATACACACAGTAAACAGAAGCTAAACTTTCCCTATCTTTGCTGCCTAGAACAACAGATACACACAGTAAACATAAGCTAAACTTTCCCTATCGTTGCTGCCTAGATCAACTGATACACACAGTAAACAGAAGCTAAACTTTTCCTATCGTTGCTGCCTAGATCAGCAGATACACACAGTAAACAGAAGCTATACTTTCCCTATCGTTGCCGTCTGGATCAGCCAGTGAATACTTGGAGAAGTGAATGAGCTCCTCTGCCAGCCTTCCCGTAAATTCTACTTCACCTCGACACAGCCAGGTACAAGAGGGACAGCAAGAGATGATTAGAATATTACTCATTCGTTTTCAGAACGTTGCTTTCATTGGGGCTCTTTTGAAAACAAAAACCAGTATGTCTTGCCTACCTTGCCACATGTATCGACATGCCTAGTGTACCTTCAATGGCAAGTTTTTGGCCCACTTCATCTTCACTCTGGACCAATTAATTCCTCTTGCAGCTCTCACTAAATTCTAGTGTATTCAAGTGTG